TGGTTCAATTCCGTGTCAACATCTTCTTTAGATTTTTATTTCCCCAGGAAAACAACATGGCATGTTGAGTACTTATATCCCCCCACTGAATATTCACAAAATGTTGCACATGTATTTAGAGCAGCTGGCAACAGCCAGAAAAGAATCTCTATGGCCCCCTACTGGATTCATGTGGTAAATCTTACTTATAAAGGATAATGTACAAATTTTATGCAAACAGAAACAAAATCTCTGTCCTGCCATGAATTGCCTTTTCCATGTATGAATTATATTTCAACTATTCTCTGTTTGTCTGCATAGAAGGTTGTTGCTTAAAACAGTTTTACAAGCCTGTTTAGAGCTCAAGGAATTGACCCTATAATGGACATAGCTGACATAGATACTCATCAACATGAATATTTTTCTTCAAATAGGCAAACATACATTAGGGAAAAAATATATATACTAGGTGGCTTTCTATTTGAAGGACAGAAACAATCTATAACAACACAAATGTAGTACACTGAGATCTTTGCAGAATCATGTACTTGAATGGCCTAAAATACGGATTAAAAAAAAAAACCCCGACAACGCTTACAAAAGTAAAATAAATTTTTTTTTAAAAATTAAAAAGTAAAATAAAAAAGTCTAGTGGAAGTAACACAATCTAGATCATTCAGATTTGTCAGGAGTAGGCAAGTTGGGTTGTGAAAAAGAGCTGGCTGTAGTCCTGCAGAGTTTTTTTTTTTTTTTGCCTCACCTGCCCTTGACAGCAACCTGCCTCTTGTAAAACTAACACCACTTGTCACTTGGCTGCAGGCCCTTGAGAGCTATCTTGAAAATCTCAGCTTGGGTCTTATGGACCATAAAACAAGGTCCATTTCAATTAACTAACAGACAAACTTACTTCAGAGGCATTGTCCTGATTACGCTAAATGACATAAATTCTATAAAGTTTTCTGGAAAAAGAACCAATGAAAATTGCTCTTCCAGCATACAGCAAATTAGGCTTCTACAGCCACTATTTTCTAGTGGTGTAACGGTTCACAAATCTCATGGTTCAGATCACATTATGGCTTTTGAGTCACATATCAGAGCATTTTTCACATCAGCCGGAAAAGGAAGGAGACAAATATAGTTTGCTTTCTATTTATTAGAAAAACAGTGATGCAAGAAACTTTTGTTTAAACAAACTTAATTTAGAACATGTAATTTTGATTAAAAAAAAAAAAACTAAAAAAACTAAAATAAGAAATAACCAGCTGAATAAAAATAAATTGTAAAATATTCAATACTGTGAAAAAACATCATCATCCCCACTGTTGCTGATAATGCTAAATATATAAATCTAACAATTAAGGGGGTACAACACACATCATATTTGTTTTTTGTCTCATTTTCAATTAATGATTCAATAACTCACTCATGTTTAATTACTAGATGTATAGTTTTTTAAGAAAGTCGCATTATTTTGATGGCTGGTTGTCACTACCTATTGGTTAAATAATGTAATTGCTACAAATTTCATTTTTGACCATCAAGTTGCATAAACAGTGATTTGCATTTTTACCATAAACATCAGTGTTTATATCTTCAATTGCCTTGTTGCCTCAGCTCAATAGACTGATCAAGGAGGACAAATATTCCATCCTTATAACAACCCCGCTCTGGAAGAACCAGACATGGTTCACAGAGATAGTTCAGTGGCTTTGGCAACCCCATTACCAATTCCTTTGAGGAAGGACATTTCCAGCCCAAACTGTGGAGCCTTGATGTTTGGTCGCTTGATGAGAGTCTTCACAACTCCTGGCCAGAGTGACTAATTCCATTTTTGAAGCTAGAGCAGTCAATTGAAGCAGTCTCTTGTTGTAAAATTTCAGTGTGGAGAGCAGCAGCTAAATCCACAATGCACACTGCATTGTTCCAACCAGAGGTTCATGCAGGGCTGTGCTCCTAAACAAATCTACACAAATCAGTAAATGTACAATGTAAGTGGAACATTCCCCTTCAGCGATTCTAGTTTTTTTGTTGTTGTTGTTTTTCAGAACTTCTGTTAATAACCAGTCCATTCTGTAGATAATAAAAACTGTAAAGAAGTGCAGTTGATGAATCTGAAACCCTGTTCTATTTTGCAGATTCACTTCTGGAATTGTATAGATATTTATTGTTTGATTAAAAAATGTACATAATCTTAATAAAAAATGTTGGATAAATAATGCTATCTATGTAATTCTATTGCATTGCAAACAAAGAAGCAAGTATTAAAATGTCCTTGGAAAATGTAAGATGTACACTATTTTTAAATATAAAGTTATAAATATGCTTTTAAACTGAACAACTTAATATTTAATGAACTACAAAAAGAGTATTATATTACAACCTAAGCACTAATGAGGCAGAAGCAGCTTTGGCAGGAATAAATTATCACTGTTATAAATTTGGCCATGAAACAACTCAAATAAAAAAGATAATGATTAAAAGAGAAGATGATATAGACTATGATGTAAATGTTTAGAAAATAATTTTAGAATTCTATAAATATCAACCACGGTATAATAGTGATTGAAAATTAAACACTGAAATAAATACAATAGATAAACATGCTAATAATATTTGAGTTCTGTTTTTTTTTTTTAATGTATTGCAAGTTTTTGTTTATTTTTGTTAATTGATTAGCTTTTGAAAAATAAATTGCTGAATCAAAATTAACAGTCACATTAATGCTCCCCATGGGAGTAGACCGAAACAAAGATGGCATGCACTGTAAATTATTATTGTGCTAATTAGTTATGACAACTTAATTTTTTTAGTTATGTTAACTTATCTGAATTAAATGGATTCAAAGTTTTACTCAGTTAAACTTATTAAACTTTAAAAAAGAGTCAGCTGAACTCATATATATATATATATATATATATATATATATATATATATATATATATATATATATGAGTTTATTGGTTCACTCTTTTTAAACACACAAATGTAGTAGTGTGTTAGTATATGTAGTGTGTGTGTGGTATAGTACAATTATGAAAACAAATAAAAAAATGTATTAAATAAATTCACTTAAAATTGTATTTGTATATGTTTTGTAATTATTATATAGAATTTATTTATTGTAATAGTTTTATTTTAATTTATATTAATTTACTTTCGTATGATGTCAGATGCTGAATATGTTTCTGCAGGTCAATTTGATTGTGCTGGTAAAAAAAAAGGGTTGACAAAATTTGTGCGGGTTTAGGATCAGTTTGAATGTTTTAACATGCATTTTATGTTAAATATTAAACTACAACAACAAAATGTGTTTTTAGTTTTTAGACATTTTTTGTGCATTTGAGGGGGCTTTGTACAGCTTGAGCTGATGTGTATCTGGCAGCACAAATGGCCATATTGTCATTGTAATGTTGTGTTGTCTAAGGTTCTTCTCAGATACCTGCTTCTTTGGTGAAAATTCAAGTTTCAAAAAACCTTTTGGTTAACACTATTGCCTCACTGCAAGAAGGTTACTGGTTTGAGTACCTAGCATTTCTGAGAGGAGTTTGCAGATTCTTCATGTGTTTTTCTCTGGTCGAATGGTTTCTACAAAGATATGGTAAAAGTGAATTCAATAAACAAAACTGGCCATAGTGTGTGTGAATAAAAGTCAACTTTAATATTTAAGTTCACAAAAGTGTTTATTACACTTAAGTCCTATCAACATCATTCTTAATTACAACAACCTTTCTATTCAAGTTAACTCAACTTAGACCACGTTTATTACACTTGGATTGTCAAGTCCTGTAAACTTTAATCTGAGTTAAGACAACTTTACCATTTAGATGAAGAAAACTTAACATTTTAAGGCAGCATGAACACTTACTTTACGTAGATTTTTTTTTTTCAATGTGCCAGAGCCTTACATTTCTATAATGGATGTATTTTAATTGAAAGAAAGGGAAAATGATATTGTTTCAATGGGCAGTAAATTTAACAAAAAAATAAATAAAAATAAAAATCACAAAAGTAGCAAACACTGTGTAAACTTAAAAATCTCTGGCATGTATTGCTGATTACTGAGGTCTGGAAGCTCTCAGAAGATAACATTATTTTAAATAATTAATTGTTTGATGTTTTTTATGTAAATTAAGATATAGTTAATTGCAAAACTCATCTATTAAAAAAAGAAGAAGAAAAAAACTTGCAAATTCTGAAAGAGATCAAACCTCAGGCAGGCAAGAAAGATTACGCAAAAGTAACTCTAAAGTAACATGATGCTTTACTTACCATAAAAAGTAACTAAGTAACGCTATTATTCACAATATTGAGGAGTAACTCAATATTGTATAATATTCAAAAGTAACATTCCCCAACACTACTTGCATACACTGCCTATAGACTAAACAACATATTTGTAAGACCTCTCCCTTCTTTTAAAGATGTAAAACATCTCTCTTGGAACACTTTTTACATGCTCTGGAGTTTTCCAGCTTTGGAGACATTCTTTAGGTATAGCATTCAAACAATGAAATATCAAATAAGTCAATTGATTCTGATCCTAATATTTGAATTCTAGGTGCTATCATTTCAATTCACATGACCCGTCACAAAAGCTGTTTTATTTTGCTTGCAAGCACTACAGCTAAAATATGTGTGCTTAAAAACTGGAAATCAGAGCAAAAAAAAATTATAATGAAATAAAAAAACTCTGGGTTAAGGAGCTTGTATGGTACCCCTGGGAAAATATTGTATTCTGTTTTTAGGCAAAACCCCACAGACTTTGATTATATTTGGGCCATTTTCCTGATGCTTTACCCCTGTTAAACTTTAGTAGTTGATTATTTCAAATATTAATTGTTAGTATTTTTACTTAAATTTACTGATTGTTAATAAAGGAATGTGGTATTCTTTGAACTTTGCATAGTTGTAAAAAATAATAATGCTTTTCTCAAAGCATACCACAGCATGACAAAAGTTCCATATCATATTTTTTTATTCATTAACATGACTTTTGACCGACTGTATTCTTCCTCTCACAGCACATAAATAATGACCATATTCATGGAGAAAAAAAGGAATTTGTGTGTCGCTGGGAGGAATGTTCAAGAGAACAGAAACCCTTTAAGGCCCAGTATATGCTGGTGGTGCACATGCGCAGACACACAGGAGAGAAGCCTCATAAATGCACGGTGAGGATTGCATTTAACACATTTGGTACTTGAAGATTTGTGACACTCATTTCAGTAAGGAGAGCTTGCGATCTGGATTTTGGTTTAGTCCAAGAAGCTGCTGTAAAAACCTGTCTATAACTAATCTTGTTCATTTTTGTCCTTTTTTATCTCAGTTTGAAGGCTGTTCAAAGGCATATTCCAGATTAGAGAACCTGAAAACACATTTGCGTTCACACACAGGAGAGAAGCCATATGTGTGTGAACATGAAGGCTGCAACAAAGCCTTTTCGAATGCATCAGACCGAGCCAAACACCAGAATCGGACACACTCTAATGAGGTCAGTTCACACATGAACCAAGAATGGCATTTTTTAGTTTTTTATTATTATTTTTTTGTTCTAAATATCTCTGCTTTAGACAAGTAGAAAAAATATAAAGAATTTGAAATTAAAATGAAAAGAATTTATGCATTTCTCGTTGCAAATGATAAATAATACATGTCCAAAGCAAAAAAAGCTTAATCCATCTCTGAATTGTCCTTTTTTCAGACATTGCCACATTGTAAAATTTTTCCTGTCATGTTTTGTTGATATCATGCCAGCATTTTAAACATGCAGAAAATTAGTGATGGTTAATTAATTAATTAATGGCTAAAATGGCTAAAATTACTTAACATCTCAAGCTAAAGGGGCATGTACACATCTTTCCCTTTTAGGGCCCTATCATATACCCGCCGCAATGTGGCGCAAGACGCAACGCAATTGCTATTTGCTACTTTCACCTCGGCGCAAGGGTCATTTTGAGGTGTTGCGCCACACTGTTTAAATAGCAAATGCATTATAGGCATTCTGGTCTAAAAAAGCAGGCGTGTTTTGGCGCGTTGCTATTTTGAGAAACTGTAAATAGTCTGTTCTTTAGACCAGAACAAAGTTTGTTTGGCGCAAAGTGCGTCTGGCTTAAACACTACAAACAAGATGCAGAGCAATACGCAAATATCTTTACATATGAAAAAGATATAATATATTAAGGATATATATAATAAGGATATATAATAGGATATAAATATAAATGATTAAAATATTACAAAACATATTAATTTCTAGCCTACATGAATTTAAAAACCACTGCCTTCATACTCTCTTTATCTCGGGAGGCTTTTTCAGTTCATTCAATTTGCTTTTGTATAATGTTATTATTATTAGCAGTATTATTTATTATATCCATGTTTATACTTGTTTTATTAAAAACAAGCTTAGATTTGTCCACCTGTTTTAGACTGTATTGGGCATAGCAGGTGTATTTGGAAATAACCCAGTGTTTTGACCACACTTCGTTATCAATGTTAATTTATTCGTTTGCTGGAAATTACACCTAAATTTAGAAATAGTTTTAAAACAAATCTTTGTGCTTAACAAACGAAATTAATTATTTATAGGCCAATTGATGTTTGTGCGTAAAGGCTTCCCTATCCACGAGAGCAAAAGCGAAAGTGAACTTACTTTACGTCCTGTAAATAACAAATGCGCTCATGACGCGACGCAACTGGCTCTTAAAGGTAATGGGAAATGAGACTCTGATTGGTTTATTCTCAAAACACATCTATAACTCATTAAGAAAATAAACTGAACCCTTTTAGACCATGCGCCATGGCGCAAAACGAATTTTCCCGTGCTTAAATTAGCAAGTATGGATTCTGACACGCCCTAAAAGCGTTTGTGCCCTGCGTTTTGCGCATGGACCGTCAAAATAGAGCCCTTAGTCTTTTACCACAATTTATGGCATGATGACATTATAGGTATTATGCTTATCAGACTAGTCACTATGAGTTGAAAATGGGCCAAAGAAAACTGCCAAGGTTATATCTATTCATATGGGTATATAAACAGCTCATTGGCAGTCACTCATTTAGATATTTGCTTTGTAGCAGGCCACATCTCTGATACGGTGCAGTAACAGTGGCTGGGTTTCAACACCTGACTGATGGTTTAGTTCCATCTTAAAGAGTAAGACACTGTTCGGATTGTATATTTTTCAAGATGCTATTCTGTCAATGCTCGCATTCAAACTTACAAGGCTAGAAGGCACCTCTTACTGACAGAGCCTTGAACTACTCTGCCCTCATTATAATCAATGTGTAGGTGACCCAGGCGTACATGAGCATTCCCTAGGTGAAGAAAGCGCTTCATGTCTCTCATCCAAAGCATGTAGGTTTTTAGTATCACCTTTTGTCAGAGCTTACAAAGCTACAGGACAGGCATTGCTTGTCATGACCCCCTACTAAGGACATGCATGTAAGTAGTTAATCTCTAGGGCTGATGCACAGTCTACATATGATCATTAGCTATGTCCTAATTGCCTAAGGTGGCTAAGGGAAGGGAAAACTTGTTTAGTCATAACTTGTCCAGCTAAAAAGTGGAGACCTGCTAAGTTGCCCATATAAAGAATGTAGATTCCACTAGTCAGTTTTACTGGCCCATTTTCATACAAAGCCAGATGGATTGGTCTCGTAACTCAAATCTGCATAGTGTTGCCACTTCTCTCAATTTCCTCCTTCAGAGAACAAGGTTTAATCGTGACATTAATTCTACCTTTAAGATGCTATTATTATTATGTTTTAAATGCTCTGAATTTTGTTTGGGAAAACACTTCAATTTCTCACAATAAACACTGTAGCATCACAGTGTCTGACAGTGTCAGGGTTTAGTTCATCTTTAGCAGAAATTTACTTTGCTAATTTATTTGCATACAACAAGTGACTTTCATACAAACAAATACATCACTGAGTCAATCTCAGAACCATTTTGTTCACTACCTTGGACCTTATTAATAATGTAGCTTTGAGTCTGATATTTGTCAGTAGCGAGGTAGTAATTTAGCTATGCTTCAAGCTGATGAACGTACAGTACTACTTATTTATTTCTTTGCTCATGCATTTTCCAGACAACTTTAACAGATGTAAATGTATTAACTCAAAGAGCATAAACTGAAAATAATTATAAACATCAATTTGTATTATGTGCAGGAATTACATTAACTATGATGAAATTAATGTATACATTGCCACAGTATTTCACAATTTAATTTCTCATACACAAACACACACACACAAACTATTACATTATTTTTAAATTTTATTACAATGAAAACATTATTACATTATGGGCTCAAGATTTTATTGTTTTGAGAATTATTTCAGTATGAACATTTCATTCAAATAATAATAAAATATTTATTACATTCTGTGTAGTTTATGAGCTGCTACAGACACATCAAAAGTCTAGCAATATGTAACACACCTCACTTTTTGCTCCATAGACTTCTAGTCATTCGCATGTGAATTCAGTAGAAACGCAAACTAATGCCACAAGTTTCCTATGTTCAAGCATAGTGAACTCTGACCTGTGATTTCCCATCTTGTGATTGTGTGAGACCAATAGAAGATCAAAACTTGACCCCTCTGTACAAATATGTAAAATTAAGAGCTTTAAAATGGGTGTTACAGTGGCGCAGTGGGTAGCACAATCACCTCACAGCAAGAAGGTCGCTGGTTTGAGCCTTGGCTGAGTCAGTTGACATTTCTGTGTGGAGTTTGCATGTTTTCCCCGTGTTTGCATGTGCTACGGTTTCCCCCACAAGTCTAAAGACATGTGCTATAGGTGAATTTTGTACGCTAAAATTGGCCGAATTGTATGAGTGTGAATGAGTGTGTTTGGATGTTTCCCAGTGATGGGTTGTAGCTAAAAGTGCATCCGCTGTGTAAAACATATGCTGTATAAGTTTTCAGCTCATTCCGCTGTGGCAACTCAAGATTATTAAAGGGACTAAGCTGAAAAAAAATTTAATGAATGCAGAGCTTTTAAAGGAAGTTTTATCCCACTCCTTTTTACAGCACCATTCGACAGACTTTTGCATTGTCAAACTTGTGTGTGTCCACAGCTTTAGTCTTTAAATTTCATGGTACTGAACTTGGGGAGTCTTAAAAAGGTTCTTGAATTGTAGATCTAGAAAAAAAATGGTAACACTTTATTTTGATGGCCATTTGAGTATTAGTAGACTGTTTGCTTAATATCTGTTGATACTACTTCTTCAACAGACATTTAACTGACTATAGGAAACTTTGCAAGTACATCATCACCTTTGAATTATAAGGTTCTGTGTTCTGAATGATTGAGATAACAAGCTTTAAAGTTTTTGCATTCTATAGCAAACAGTATCTGTGTAACATTTGTTTTTTAAATAAAAAGTCCTAAAATGTAAACAACTTATAAAAAACATCCCATAATGTAAATAAGTTACATTAAGTTCAATAAGTCAATTTAATAAGAATGTCAATAACTTAATTTTGACAAAAAATGTCAGAGAGAACCTTATAATTCTAAGGTGACGACATGTCAACTTACACTAACCGTAACCCCAACAGTCTACTTATAATGTAATGAGAATTACTTGGCACGTAGATGCAATGTGACTTAAATTCAACAAACATACCATCAAAATAAAGTGAGATCGTGAAAATGCATTGCATTAAATATTCTAAAGACATTGGGGTTTATTTTTGTTGTTGTTGTTTTGGAAAGTTATGTTACATATTTATCTTGCAAGCATTGTCAACAATGAAAAAATGTGTAAGTTGACATGGCATGTGTTTTGCATCAGGTGTGAGACTGCTTTTATCGGTTCACTCTTTGAATTTTTGCTGAACTTTTATATAACAGCTACATTGCACTCCACAGAAATGTATAGAATGCATTAGCAAACATTTATTTCTATTATATGCAAATGCTCTTTTTTTATTTCTCTCAGAAACCCTATGTGTGTAAAATTCCTGGCTGCACTAAGCGGTACACTGACCCAAGCTCCTTAAGGAAACATGTTAAAACTGTACATGGTCCTGAAGCCCATGTCACCAAAAAACAACGTGGGGAGACATACCCACGACCCCCACCTCAGCCACGAGAACCTGGAGCAACCACTGACCAAAAGGAGTATACCCATGCTACCTCAAAACAGGATGAATGTCTGCAAGTCAAGTCAATCAAAACAGAAAAGCCCATGGTAAGCCTCCTTTCATATCAAAAATCAAAAATAAATAACATTTTATATTTAAAGTATTTAAATTGAAAATTATTAGCTCTACTTTTTTATTTTTTCAAGTATTTCCCAAATGATATTTAACAGAGCAAGGACAGTTCCAGAATTTCATTTTTTTTTTTCTTCTGGAGAAATTTGTTTTATTTTGCCTAGAAAAAAAAAAACAGATTTAGTTTTTAAATACCGTTGTAAGTTCAATGTTATTAACCCCTTTAAGAATTTTTTCCAGATTGTCTTAAAAAAAACAATGACTTGCCTAATTACCCTAACTTGACTAGTTAACTAAAAAAACAAATCTTTTTTTAAAAATCTAGTAAAATATTATGTACTTTCATCAAGGCAAAGATAAAACAAATCAGTTATTAGAAATTAATCTTCAAAACTAATATATTTAAAAATGTGTTGGAAAGTATCTTCTTTCCCTTAAACAGAAATTAGGGAAAAATATAAATGAATTAAAATTTAACAAAAGGGATAATAATTCTAACTTCAACTTTACATATACACACAAACAGTTGAAGGCGAAATTATTAGCCCTCCTGTGAATTTTTTATTATTTTAAAAATATGTCTCAAGTGATGTTTGGCAGGTTGACATTTTGCCATGTTCAAATAAATAACTGAATATCTTTTTTCCACTGCCACGCATTACATGTCCTCTCTTACTAAGGACAGTGGGTGATCAGGTGAGAATGGTGATTTTTTTTTTTAGGTCTGCTTTTTTTTCTTTTTTCATTTCACTTGTTATGTTTTCAAGTCTGTATCATTGCTTGAGCTATTCATTCAGTCATTGGTCTACCGTGTCTTATATTAATAATTATGCTGCTGGTAATTACTTTTAGTTGTGGTCAAAAATGTTGACATTCTTGATAAATATGAGCAAATTTAATGTTTAGACTTTGTAATGTTTTACCTTTTCTTTTATACATTAATCTTCCATTGAAATAAAAATTAATAAAACTGGGGAAGGAAAAATTATTATGAAATAACGTTTTTCTTTTTTCTCCAAATCATGTTGGTGAACATTGTTGGCACTCTTTTATTTGATATATCTTTTTCATCCCTCATTTGCCCAGATAACAGTTCTAAATCGTTTCCTGCAGACTTTTTCCTTACAGAATCTTTCCAGATCATTCAACTTCTCTGACCCATGTTGGTGCTCTTTCCCCTTTAGTTGACCCACTAATTTTCCATAGGATTCAGTTCAGGGACTCAAATGGCCATGGCAGAACCTTACTTTTTTTTTTAGTGACCCATTTTTGTGTCCGTCTTTGTTGTAGATCTTTGATGATATGGAACGTACAACCTTGGTCTATTATAAGACTTCCAGAAGTTATACGCATGGTCAGGTTTTCATTTTTATATGACGGTACATGACAGTGTGTGGTTAGATTTTCCCAACTTTCTTTGCTCATAGTTACCAAGAAGGCAAATCATTTTGACCATGAATATGTATTTCAAATCAGAAAAAGTTGGGACAGTATGGAAAATGCTAAAAAAAAAAAATAAAAAAGAAAAAAAAATTCTAAATTTGCGTTGACATGCATTTCATTGCAGACAATACATCAAAGATTCTCTTGATTTTTTTATTATTCTTTTTTTTATTTAAATTAAATACATATTCCAATTTTATTTCTTGCAACACATTTCAAAAACAGTTGGAACAGAAAAGCATTTACCATGTTGTATTGTTTTTGTCCCTTTTCACAACACTTAAAGATGCTTAGGGACCAAAGACACCAAGTGATAGTGTTTCTGGTCAAATTTTGTCCCATTTTTCTTGGATTTTGATCTTCAGAATGAACCACACATTCTCTATTGAAGACAGGTCAAGACTGCAAGTAGGCCAGTCAAGTACCTGTATCTTTTTCCTCCGCAGCCAAAACTTTGTAATATTTGCAGAATGTGGTTTTACATTGTCTTGTTGAAATACATGCACGGGCGTCCCTGGAAAAGAAGAGTGGATTGTGCTTCAAAATCTCGATGTACTTGTCAGCATTAATGGTGCCATCACAGAAGTGCAAGTTACCTTTGCCAAGAGCACTGACACCCCATACCATGACAGACCCTGGCTTTTGGACTTGTGGTTGGTAACAGTCTGGATGAACCTTTTCTTCTTTGGTCCAGAGCACGCAACATCCATTTCTAGAAAAAAAAAAAAAAAAAAAAAACTGAAATACCGTGTTAACAAAGGGTTTCCTTTTGGCACAGTACAGTTTTAACTGCCGTTTGTGGTTGTAACTACATATTGTGGCATTTGAAAAAGATTTGCCAAAATAGTCCTGAGCCCATGCAGTAATATCACTTATACTGTATGTGATAAATTATTCAGTGCCACCTAAGGGATCGGAGATCACAGTTGTTCAGCTAAGGCTTGCGCCCTTGTCCTTTACACAGAAGTGCAAGTTACCTTTGCCAAGGGCACTGACACCCCATACTATGACAAACCCTGGCCTTTGGACTTGTGGCTGGTAACAGTCTGGATGATCCTTTTCTTCTTTTGTCCAGAGCACACGACATCCATTTCTACCAAAAAAATAAATAAATAAAAAATAAAAACCTCAAATACTGATTCATCTGACCACATTAGATGTTTCCACTGTGTGATGGTCCGTCTTAGATCTCTCTGAGCCCAGGTCACACTCCATTACTCCAGATTCCTTGAATCTTTTAATTATGTTATTCATTGTTGAAGGTGAAATATCCAAATGTCTTCAATTATTTAAAAAAAAAAAAAAAAAAAAAAAACATTGTTTTTAAACATTTCAATAATTTTCTCACATATTTGTTGGCAAACTGGCAATCATAGACCCATCTTTGCTCTTCAAGGAGTAGACTTTTTTTGGATGCTGCTTTTGTACCAAATCCTAATTACAATCACCTGTTGACATGACCTGTTTCAAATCACATAATTATTTAACATAATTATTATCTGCAACACATTCCCAATTTGGAATGTGTTGCAGATATGAATGACAGAAAAGGTTAGTCAGGAAAGTTGACCAGACAAAACAGTAATATTTTGTGTTCATATTGTCTGCAATGAAATACAAGTAAACATAAATTTCTTTTTTACTTGCGTTTTCCATACTGTCCCAATATTTTCTGATTTATGGTTGTGTATATATATATATGTATGTATATATATATATATATATATATATATATATATATATATATATATATATATATATATATATATATATATATATATATATATATATAGTCAAGCCCAAGAGAGTCAAGCCAGAGAGTCAAGCCCGTTGGTTGGTTTATTTATTGTTTGTTTGTTTGTTTGTTTATTTGTTGTCATAATACTGTTCATATAGTAAATTGAGTATCATATCAACTTGTATGAAAAAAAAAGTATTATATCAGATTGCAAGCTATGTTTAGTAATTGTATGTGTACTTGGCTTTGTACAGTTTTAAAAACAAAGCTTCTTTGTTTCACTGATTTTGTATAGAACATTTAACATCCATACGTTTTGTTGTCACAATAATATTTCAGATGGTCACATGAGTATTACACTTTATCAAAATGCATGATCAAGTACCTCTAGTAATTTTTCATTGGTATAATTGGTTCTGTGTAGGAACTTTTTATTATTATTGTTGTTTATTTATTTAATTTCTTTATGCTAAAAATAGTAAGATGTTGTTTGGAGATCCCCAAATGGTTCTTCCATGGCATCACTCAAAGAAATACAAAACAATACAATAAAAACTTTTCTGGAACCTTTATTTTTAAAAGTTTATTATTATTTTTATAGTTTAAAATCAGGAAGTTCTGACTAGTTCTAAATAGTAATTGCAGAGAAAAAAAAAAAAACATTTTCCTCACCCCTTTTATTCAGTGTACAAAAACATTTTAAAACCAAAGCAGTATAAAGTAGTTTTAAACTATGGAATCAGTTTAGTCTCAAAAGAAATTCTCGCAAAAGACACGATGTACACATGCGTAGCCAAATTCACGTGCATAAAATCAAATTCATGTGCGTAAAATATTTATTTATATTCACAAAAAATTTTCATGTGCTCAAAATAATTTGTGCTCAAAATGTGCTCAAAATACATTTTCATAAAATACGTTTCACAAATGCAAACACCATTTGCAAATGTGTAAGAGTGTACAAAAAGTTTTGAATGTTTAAAACTTGCGAGTTTATCCTGAATGAGAATGTGCAAATCCTCTTTCACGTACGACTCCCCCTGGATACTTGTGTATGTATTTTTGAGACTTTCCTGACAGGGGCAGGGTAACTCGTACCTTTCAGCCAATCAGATGAGAGCTGTAGTCAATGACACCAACTTTGCGCTTCATTTGCGCAGACTGTTTCTTTTCAGCATGGCGAACGGAGAAAGCAGCAGTCGCATTTTTTTAATTTATTTAATTATTTGACCATAGCCTCACTCTTTTTATCCATTATTTTGCCGCAGCTCCGCTCTTCTTATTTATTGTCTCGCAGCCTCATGAGCAGAATGTAGCCTGCAGAATGATGAATTATCATTCCCGCAATGCAAGCACTGCAGTATCATTGTGGTCTAGGTGTCAGCACGTTGCGTTATCAAGCCGCCGACCTGTGTTCGATCCTCACCAGTGATTAACTTTTTTTTTTTTTTTCATTTTTATTGTTAAGACATATAAAACTGTAAGGTTGTTGAACATTTGAAGTTCTAAAGCAGCTGTTTTCTTTAAAAAGGCTTGATAGTGTAATTAGAAACTGAATTGGAAATGATCTTATTTTAATATAGTCAGTCGTGAACTGAGCTGGGCCGGTCAAAGGCTTGAAACTCCAGGGCTGAAAAGGAGTCCCACTCCGGCCCTGATTATATCCAATGAATGTAAACAAGCTGCTGTTGTGCTTTAGTAATATAATATGTAGAATATACCCTATCATTCCGTAATAATTATAATTATAAGTGTTTTCTGTCACTACTTGTTTATCCTGCATTAATGCATTCACTGTATAGGTGCTCAATTAATTATTAAAAGATCGGGACCTCAATTCTAACATCGATGCAAAATGATGATGGTTTGCATGTTCATTAATCCTTATAAGCATGACATTCAAGTCTGAATTTGATTGAGAAAGATATTTTATAAATTCAAAGTTACAAACAATAAAATAACACAGAAGTACTAGGATAATAGTTTATAGATTAGATATAAACATTGATGTTTATGGTAAAGATTATAATAACTGTTAAATCACTGTCTTATGAGAGTTGCACATAATTAGATGCATAAAACATTTTGAGTTTACTTGATTCATTCGCACTTCATTTGCAAGTCAAAATCACTTCACGATAGAAGTGGATACCCATCATGGAAGGGGTGTCTGTCTTCCTTGGGACTTCAGTTTTATTGCTAATTGATTAACATGGATTTTATAGACTGATTTCACGCGGCCTCCATTAAAAAAGCAAAATTAGGCTGCGATGGGAACAAACCCAGAAGTATCGCCTGAGTCACACAGGAATGTTGTGTACCTGGCTGTATACCTTATCAGCGAAGAGAAAGCAATACAAATGTATCCTTTCATTGCCTTCAGAGTGACACAAAGGTACATTCTGAATGGATAGTGAAAATAAAAAGGGATATCAGACCTCATTTTTAGCTAGTCACCAGTTATCAAACGTTTTCTTTCCCAAACACATGTTTTAGATGCCATTTGTCAAACTCAAGTTAATGAACTGATTCTTTCACTATATTAGACTTGTCACGATACTGAATTTCGGCACTGAAATTTATAAAAACCATCAATTTCCCACTAACGTATAAGCACTGATGAGCAAAACACCGTTGATTTGCCATAGTCTTCACCGGTGCTCAACAGAAATGATTGTGATTGGTCGTGAAGAATTTCATTCGGCAGATTATTATTTTGCTTCCAAAATTAACCTTCAAACTGTATTTACTTCCTTTTTCTAATACTGATTTTGCCAGCAACATTTAGGCAACAATATACAATAAAAACGTTTTACATTTAAATATATTATTTCTAACTTGATATTAAAATTAGGTGCTTAGTTAATTTAGCAACATTAAACTACCTGTTTACCTATAAGTTTGGTAGGAAGAATTATTTTAATGTAAATGGATTAAAAATAAAGTGGAGTATGTATTTGAGGCGGTTAACTACAAAAGAATTATTGACTGCCTGGTTAAAAGTAACAGAATGTAACAGAGCACAGTTATGCCATTGTTTTAATTCCCAAAGCTTGCACTATCTATTATTTTACATAAACAATAGTTGTGTACTTTTGATTCACAAAAAACATTGCTACTTTTGGGCGTAGTGCAAGTAGAAATATTAGGATGCAGCATGGGACTCCAGGGGCAGACCTCTTCTCATTTAGAATGTAATAAACAATCTTTAAATAGATTTACCTGTTAAACTTTTCAGAAATGTAACAATTGTCAAAGTATATAAATTCTCTAATTCTTTCTTAGACGTCTCAGTCAAGCCCTGGCAGTCAGTCTTCATGCAGCAGTGACCAGTCCATCAACGGCCCCCATGTCAGCCAGGGAGTCCAGCTTACTGTGAACAGTATTGGGCTTGCGGGGGAGGTGGCAATGCTTGAGGACATGGAAAATGAAGAGGAGGATGAGGAGAACAGAGAAAGAGAGAAGGAGGATGCCCCCATTATGGACTCTACAGTATCCACAGCAACATCCTCTGCGGCAACAATAGTTTTGCAGACTCATCGAAGTGTTGGACGGCCCCTACGCTGGATGGAGCATGTTAAGATGGAGAGGTTAAGGCAGGTGAATGGAGCTGTGCCTAGGCTAGGATTCCTGCCTCCAACACCGCCCCCTAAAGGCCAGGCCATGCCTGCCCTCACAGGAAAGGGTAAGTCTTATTTTCTGAGCTCTGTCAACATATCAGACTTTACTAATTGAATTGCAGACCCACAAGCATTTTTATAATCTTTTAAACGTGTTATCCAAAAAAATAAAAAACTGTCATCATCTTCATCTCATTTCAAACCTGTATTTTTATTTTAAAGAAGTGACATTGAAGTAATTTTCACAATGTTACATCTGTTCTTTCAGTAATGCACAGTTTAAAGACATGATGACAGAAGTTTATTTTTAGAGTGTCTGTGGGGTTGTAAAAGGTAGTAAATGAAGTTAGCCAAAATTAAGGACATTAAAAAGTATTAAAAAGTAACAAACATCATCTGACGAGGTATTACATTTTACATCTGTATTATCAGGTCAATGCCTTGGGAGGAGTACTTCTGTGAGGGTGCCTCCATGCCCTGAGCCGTCCAACACAGAGCTGACAATTCTGAGTTTGCTGCATGAACGACGGGACAGTAGTGGCAGCAACACTAGCTCAGCTTACCTGAGCAGCAGCCGTCGCTCATCTGGCATCTCCCCCTGCTTTTCCAGTCGCTGTTCTAGCCAGGCTTCACTGTCAGAGTACAGCCCCCATCGACATATCCATAATCTCAGTGCAACTGATTCTTATGACCCTATTTCCACTGATGCCTCTCGACGCTCCAGTGAAGCCAGCCAGTATGATGGAGGAAGTTCAAGTGCAGTGGTGTTTGGTGGAAGTGGAGTTTTCAAGGGCAGTGGTATGGGATCAAGAGGGGATCTGAACCTCACTCCAGCTCAACACTATAGCCTAAAGGCCAAGTATGCAGCAGCAACAGGTGGACCGCCTCCCACACCCTTGCCCAGTATGGGGCATATAAACCTAAAGAGTCACTTTGCTTTAAAGGAAGACAGAAAGGACACTGGCCAGCTTACACTACCACCACTGGTCAGGTCACGTCGCTGTAGTGATGGTGCACACAACTCGCATGACAGTCAAGCCGTGTATCAACGAAAGGGAACATACTTTGGTGGTGGTCCAGGGAAAAATGATCGAAGAGCTAGTGATCCTACACATCACAAACAAAATCTTAGTTCTTATGGCTTGCCACAAGTACGACATTTCAGTAGTTTAAACAATATGACTTCATCACCCAATCCTGCTAGTTATGGTTACTTAAACAGAGAAGATCACAGTCTGAACCTACAGAATTCCACCTGTCACGTAGATAGCTTTCAGAGTGGTCTGCACTCCCCTTGTCCTCCTAGCATCATGGAGCAATCAGCACTTGAGAACATTTCCATAAACCAGGATGGTCTTTTGTTACGTGTCAATGAAAACATCCAGTCTGACTTCATGCAGTATCTCCATTCCCAAGATCAGGAATCAATAATTAACCAAGACAACCATAGGCCTATTTTCAATCCCGCAAATGACCAGAACTTCCTCAGTCCACAGCAGCACCAAGAGGGAGTAGAGCAAGAAGACACTAGTATTGATCTGATGCCTATCCAGTCGAATGAAGTGAGCTCTGGTAGTGCCGATGTTACCATTCCAAGGCAGCCGTTTCAGAGGTGTGGCAGATGGTCAGACCAGAGTGGCTCAGTAAGCAACGCCTTTGGTCGATTTGGAAACATGGTTGTACAACAGCAGCCTATAGATTTTATTGATCAGCACTCAGCTCTTCAACACATGGGAGGTATAAGCTATGGGTGCAGAAATTCAGAGCAGCATCTACAAGTAGCAAAACCAGCCCAAGAGAAGTCCAGGATGAAAACAGGCATTAAGACTGAGTCTTCCTCAACCTTCCAACTGGAATCCAAACACAGCAACTTTGGTCGACCAGACTTCTCTCATATCTTTTCGGCCCCCATTCATCAAAAATGTTCCCAGCATACAGTTGTATCCCAATCTTATCCCCAACAAAATCAAATTACAAATCAAGATAGCAGCAACCTCTTTTTGCAAAGACCAGGTAACTGCAGCTTACTCTTGGCTTACCGGCCTCAGCCAGCTGTCAACACTTCCTACTCCACTAGGCAGGATATTAACAGCCATAATGTACAATCATGCCATCCACAAAGCTTGAACAATAGACTAGGCACAAATTGTTCCCCTTCAAATCAGGTTTCCGTTGTGAAGCTTGATCAAGTTAATCACCTTCAAATCAACTCTTGCTCATCAATTCAGCAACAAACACCTGTGTTTATTGATAAGTGTTTTGACCTAGAAAAGTCCAAGCTCTCTCACGCCATAGTACAGTCATGTCTAATGGAATCATTGATGGCAGAGAAAGAAAGAACTTCCAAAGTTCTTCTGTCATCTGGGGTTGGTCAGGTGACTAGCACAGTAGAAAGAAGCCCAGCTGAAAAAGTTGGTTTAGGAATTTGTTCCATTGGTGATGATAGTTATGATCAGGGCAGTGTAGTGTCTTCCTCTCAACTCAGTAATTCTCATGATTCCTTTGCATTTCACAGTGTGAATCCAGGCACTAACAACATGGCTATTAGTGACATGAGCTCCCTCCTCACCACCCTCGCAGAAGAGAGTAAATTTCTGGCAATCATCCAATAGTTTGTGAACTCCCCCACCAAAAAAAAAAAAAAAATTACACTTAACACAAATTTAAAATACTTTTGCATGCAAAGTTGTGGTATGAGAAAAAAGCCTTATGAACACTGTTTAACAGGCAGTGTTGATAAAAGAGTTGCTATAAACTCTATTTTGATGGGGGGGGGGGTTACATCTTCTTAGAGGATGATCATGAAGGCACCTAGAGGATGAAAGAGGCACCAATCTTTTTGCCTCATAGTTTTCAGTGTTGATTTTGCTCTTATTAAGTTCTGTTGCACTGTTGATACAAGTGCATGGCATTTTTCTTAAATGCTAAATTGTGCATAGTATTCACTAAAATGAGTAGGTTAACTCATATTGTGTACCTTTATTTTAGAGTGCTTTGCAAACTACAAAGAAGATGTAAATATGCACAGACATGACTGTCAACAAGTTAAGAGAGGGTTGAATATTTTTACAGGAAAAAATGTCATGTTTACCAATGTTGTGGTGATTTAAGTTTTAACAAATCTTGTTTTGGCCAAATTTTCACACCATCGCTAGAAAGAGAAACATTTTGTAACGTGATCAACAAATCATCTAGAACTGATCTGTATCTTAACTATATTGCTACAACTTTGTAAATATTCTTTCTTTGTTTACCATAATAATTTACATTTTACACATTTTCTATATAACTGTTAATGACTGGGGTCAATGTTAAACAGTACTTTATGTGACAAATGTCAAGAAAAAAAACATCTGTGGTCATTTTAGTAAAGTTCAATATATGGCTTATTGCACAGAGGATTTGGAATTTGGGATCAAAAGGTGTTGTTTAGAGTACAAATTCATGTTTAAATTTATCTGAATATGTCAGTAATTTTATTTGTTATTTTGTAAAAGTCAGTAGTGTGCTGTTTTTGTCACAGCAGTGCAGTAAATATATAGTAAGATGTCATGTATACCTTGACTTTTTAGATCAACTTGTCTTCTGTCTACACATTTATGATTACATAAGCAAATTTCACATTTATATAAACAATGGCACATCAAGAGCAAAAAGAGTTTAAAGCAGTATTAAAACAATCTGCAATGTCTATGTACAGTTTTTTTAAAGATGTACTTCAGCAATTAAGTAATGTTTTTGTACAGTTATTTCTGCAGTCGTATTACAGTGTCTTTTATTTTAATCACAAAAGTGGTGTGACCCATTCCAATAGGACACGATCAGAAGGTTTACGCCTAAGGTATGTGCCTTATTTATGCCTGTCCATACAAAAGAATCACTGCCGTATTCCTTTTTTACACAAATTATAGAAAAACAAAAAGGGAGGATTCCTATGACTTCATGTTTTGGTTGGGCATTGAGAAATGTGACGTAAACATTGTTGTTTCTGTTGTTGTTTGATTTCTTCAAGCTTGTAAATACATATTAATTTGGTACACTGTAGTCGGAATAGTTTGCATCTGAAGTCAGAATTAGAAAAAAAAAATATCTTCCTAAATATCTAAAGCAGGAATATCTGTGTTTTGTCCTACATTTAAACAAAGAAATTAAAATAGAGTCATGGTGCCTAGCACTTTTAAACTGGGAACAACTCTTAATGCTTTTTATATAAGATTACAACAATTGTTTGTATGGTTTTAATAAAAAAATAAATAAAAACATTTAAATTACATGATTATCTTGTTGCCAATGTGTGTTGATGTTTTTTTTTTATCATGTTATGAGTACACCATTCATATTTGCTAAACAACTTTTGCTATGTTGTACATGACATTGAAGGGCACCTAGTTTAAATTCAGATTTTTTTATTATAATGGGTCAAAAAGTGTCATTTTGGGGGCATGTACACAGGTCGTTTTTTTAGGTGTGTGTTGCTTCACATAAAAAATTGTTTTGACTTCCCACCCAACTTAACAAGGTGGCGGAGCCAAGAGCTCCCCTGCTTTGTGTATGGCAATTGACAAGCAGACAGAATGAACCAACCTAAGTGAGAGGATCAGCATTCAGCCATACATGTACGAATCGCAGGAAATGCAAACGGCTGAAGTTTAAGGAAGATGCAATGAAAAGTAGAATTGTTTGTAAGCCCACCTAAATTTACAAACAATGTCGCCGATTAGAGCAATTATGTGGTTGATCCGCCAGCCGAGATCAATCGAGTGCTATTAGAGAGAGTGCTGAAAGACTCTGTGGATCAGCTGTTTTGAATGGTCGAATCTCGATACGTTGCATTCACTGCGTGTTCAGATCAAATGACCGCTATATGTAAAATCTCTGTTGCTCATTCGCAGGAAGACAATGAAGGCTCTTGAGCCCAATGAGCCTTACATCCAAAAATAGAGCAAGGGTGTTTCTTTGGTGACATCGCTCTGACTCACACAATGAAAATGGCGGATGTGAAACAACAAACTGGGGATTTGGTAATGCGCACCAATCAATCAATATTGGTGGGCGGGAGAAACGCACTCCTATGTCAAGTTGCGGTAGGTCTCAAAACTGCTTCTATTGGTCCATCCGTTTTTTTGTTGTTAAATTGAAAAAAGGACTGGGTGTGTTTATATCACCCAAATATAAAGGTCTATACACTATAGCTACACACAGTTCTGTCCAAACAGCTTGAAAAGTATATTTTTTACCATAGGTGCTTTTTAAAAGGCATAATCAGTAAACAATATTAAAAGGAAGGCCTACTTAGATCCAATCCATATTAACATAACATGTAATATTTAATCTAGTTTCTGCTTATTCTGTAATTGTAAGGATTCCTCAAAAAAGGAAATCGCCCAGCTTAAAACCATGTCCAGGAACATACTTAAAATTAGACTTGTATGGTGCTAGTTTAGCAACGATGTATGTTTACAAGCATCCATTTTTGCTTTGAAAAGAATATGTGTTAATGGAATTTTGTCCGGCAGAATGGTGGATCATAGCATCATTATGTTACATCATTACTACGTTAGCTGTGATGGGTAGGGTTAGGGGTGGAGTTAGGTGAGCACATTAAAAAGCATTGGATGCAGCTCAGATTCTCAGATTCCGAGTCTGCAGCCAGACCCCTCTCAAAATGTCACTAAAATGCAGTATTTGAAGCTCACAATTTAATAGAAAATAAGGTGAATAACAACAAAAAGGTCCACTTTTTGAGGAAAAAAGAACCACCACTTTCAATAGTCTGGCTACGGGCCTGATTTACATATACTTAATATAGGAAATACTGTGGAAATATCCTAGTTGTTGTAACGTACAGTCCGGAGGTAAAATTAAATTTTTTACTTCTAAAAAGGGGTTCAGTCTACAGGTCAGTGCCAGGGAGTCTGCTGTAAGAATCCCTGGGTGACACCTTTATTCTAACAGGACACTTAGCAGATTGCTTCAGCCCTCTCTGTTTGAGCTTCAAGGAAGCACGGAAAACCTTACCTTTGGCCTACACACAGACATTCCCCGATATTAAAAAGGGCATTTAGAACCCCAAATTCCTGCTCTGAATAACACATAACTTTTGTAATTTGTTTACTCCCTCATATAACCTATACACCTAGTATTTTTAACCTTTTTGAAGCATTAGATTGAGTAAGAATGGGTAAATTATGTTTATGTATTCTTGAAAGCGTCATGTTTAGTACCGTTACGTTTTTTCTGCCATTTTACAATATATGCTGCATAGTGCATGAAATTAACTTATATGGCTTACATTCTTATGCTTTGAATTAAAGTCCATCTGTATGTTTTGGTAGGACCCTCATCGGTCCAGAGACAAAGGAAATCTTGCGCTCAAACTTTAGCCATAAAACCCATGGGGGCCGACTTGACCCAAAGTTAAAAACCATCTACCCACCAAAACCTCAGCAGAAAGGTCCCAGCAGAAGGTCTCCACAGAAGTGAGGGGGCAGACCGTGTATCTGTACCCACGTGACTCACCTGAGATTTGATAACCATGATAACCATGACTACTGGAAAAAAGTTTGAGGTTACGAGTCTTTAATCACTTAAACACTATTTCCAGTCATGCAAATATCAGGACATCATTCAAATAACCTAATCGACTGATGAAAATCTGATCCCTGCGTATAGTCAGCTTCATTCACATTAAGGCAGTTATGGCCTAATAAACAGAGAGTTGGATTTGTGATCCAAATGTTGCAGGTTTAAATTCCAGCCAAACATTAGGGATTGTAGGTGGGAGTGGTGAATAACAGCACTCTTTTTCCTTTGAGTCCTTTGAGCAAATCTTTGAAGTCACAACTGCTCATGTGTATTCACAGTAGCCTCGTTTCCACTGCCGTACCTAAAGCCAGCATGCCAGTGCAAGCCAGGGAAAGTCACGTTTCCACAGTCACTTTCGGGGCTTCATCTGGGCTTCCTTGGACCAACGGCCAACCTTTGTCGGCCTGCCAAATACTTTGGGCCAAAGCAAGCCAGCTGGGGCTGTGGGACAAGGTGAAAGCAAGATGGTATGCTGCCATTTTCACTAGTAGCACAAGTACAATTTAAAAAATTAAAATCATAGCTACTGGTCAGGTGTAGATTTTCATGTGCATCAAATTGATTTAAGTGTTGCATAAATATTCCTTAAAGTTATTTTAATATAAGTTTTATTTCATTTCACTTGATGATTTAGTTTCAATAATGCACAAAATTTTTACACACTTCAGTTAGACTCAAGTGGTGTGCCTTATAGCCAATTACATTAAAGACACAACAGCCAGTAACATTCAGTTGTCGAGAATTTTTGTCATGTTTAAAGAGTGTGTTTGAGCAACATGCATGAAATGGGGGGGGGGAAAGGCGTGATGCTGTGGCTAATGAATTTATTTGTTTTTATTTATTTATTTATTTATTTTTTGAAGATCATACAGAACATAAATATAATAGAATGACATAAATCTTGACACTATTGGCTCAGCACATTAGTGCCACATTTTAGATAAAATATTCTAACTTTTAGCCTAAAAAAAATAATAAAATAAAAAATAACAAAAATCTGATACAATAATAAATAAATGAGTCAATATAAAACAAAGAAAAGCTATATAAATTTAAGCCTA